TCTGATTTTCTCTCATGATTAGGCTTTTGGGGTTATGGATTTGAGGGAAGAAAACCACAGAGTTGAAGTCCCCTTCCCATAGCATCACATTAGGGCTACATGCTATGGACATGATTCCACTAATTGCATGAACCTTCATGGCCCAGTTGAGGTCACATTGGCTAGGTTTCTCCTCCTTATAAAGTGAAGGGTTTCCCCTTTCCCTTGTCTGTTCTTTCAAAGCACTTCACTGAGTCTAGCCCACCCTCAAGTTGGGTGGGGAAGGTAGTTAAGCTCTACTTTCTGGGGGGGTGGGTATAGCAGAATCCCCAAGACTCTCCCCAGGCTGTGATTCATTACAAGAGCTCACAGGACTCAGCTACAGTTGATCCAGAGCAAAGCCAGGAAAGGGAAGAGGTGCTGAGAGAAGTATGGAGGGAACCAGGCAGAAACTTCCAAGACTTCTCTAGCCCAATTCCACGGATGTGCCTGACTCCCCTAACAACAGGTTGTGACAACACGAGTGCATTCTATTGTACCTGGGTGTCCAGGGTTTCTACTTGGACTAGTCAAACAGGCATCCTCAGCCTAGCGAATACCAGAATTCCATGCGCCAGAAGGAAGGTGTCAGTGTTAACCGCAGTCTTTGTGCAAACAGTTTAGGCACAGTGAGCTGTTTTATAATTTATGGAAAGTTATACCAGTGAAGAACACTGATTACTGATCAAGATTCCAGTCCTCAGCCAAGGACAGCCTCGCAAGCAGGCTTTTCTGAGGACATCAGTCTCTGTTGCTGCTCATTCTATTCTATCAGGGGAGTTATCTACATATCATTACTTTTACCACCCATTTTTATTATTGAGAGTAAAAAAAAATTGTAAAAAAATATAATGCACAATGAAATTTAAAGTCGGATCAAAGTGTCTAATTTCTTCCTAGTGAAATATGTGGTACTCTTAAGTCTCTTGTTCTTTTAGTATTTCTCTTGCCCATTTTCAAACATTGCTATAAAAATATTACTCGTGGCAATTTTTGGAGCTTTTCATAATTAAAAAAAAATGCCTCCAGGTTATGACCTCATTTATTGCCAAATAATTAGAAGGCTGTAAATTTCAGTAGTAAGTAATAACATAACAACCAGAACTTGAGTGAAAGCTCAGAAAATAATTATTAAGACTTCAGAAACAGTAAGTACTAGTCATTTACTTCCTTTTAATAGGAAAAACGTGGTCTTCGAGAAATGCGAGTTCTTGAAAATTTGAAGAATATGATCCATGAAACAAATGAACATACTCTTCCCAAATGCAGAGAAACGATGCAGGACAACTTGAAAGAAGTTCTCCAGAGATGTAAGTTTTTGATTTTGATTTCAAATTAATGCTGTGCCAAATTTATTTTCTGAAGTATTATGGTGGGAAAGGAAAAGAAGAAACTTCTAATCAGGACACATGAAAGTGGTTGTCTAGTGACTAATGCAAGTTGCCTTGATATTAGGAGCATGCATCTCCAAAGCAAGATGTGTGCAAGGCAGTCCTTCTAGCATGCAAGAAAATCAAAACAATTTTACCTTTTAAAAAGAAAGTTACTGGGCTGGTGTTGTGGCTCAGTGGTAGAGCACTTGCCTCACACGCATGAGGCATAGGTTCGATCCTCAGCACTACATAAAAATAAATAAATAAAATAAAGATATTGTGTCCATCTAAAAATAAAAAAATTTTTTAAAAGTTACCTGTAAGAAAATGTTTGATGGCATGGAATTAGGAGAATATGAAGTGGAAAGTTTTTTCCAAACAGACTATCAGAGGTTTTAGTTCCGTTCCCCCCCCCAAAAAAAATAATCCTTTTATAAATGTTTGTATTTTATCACTTTTCTTTATTAAGTGACATATTCTAATGTAGAGTGATAGTTGATCAAAAGATTATTTATTAGTATTTTTAATATCAAATCATAACATAGAGAAGCTTTATGAGTAGCTGATTTTAAAATTAGCAGTATATCAGAAACTTAAGGCTTCTCCGATTTATATTGAGAACATTTGAGGTATGATATACTGGCAAATAATGATGGGTTACTGAAGTACAAAATGGAAAAGTATCCTTGATAGTGGTGGGGACAAAACTGACCTATAATAGAATGGCCATGAAGGAGATCAGCAGAGACCTTGGTTCATAATGGAGATAAATGGCTTTGTGTGGAACTAAGTCCAGGCTGATGTACTCTAATACTAAAAGAGGGTTGGAAGGATAAATTCCCGAGATCATATTTGGCTTGAGTGGAATAGCAAGAAGTCTATGTTTGTACAGAACCCAGACCCCAACAAAAGTTCCAGTATTATGCTAAAAGGAAAACTGCAATTGTTATTAATCAGAATGTTTATATATGCATTTGATATGTGCCTATAACTCTTCTTTTCCACACTTTGATTATATAAAAGTAAATTGGGTGAAACTCAGTAGAAAACAATGAACAGCTATTTTGACTGGTTGCCTTCTTGGTCTGAAACTCTGAATAAGGACAGCCTTTTGAAAGTAAAGTCTTCCCAGTGAAATAGAAAAATATTAACTGACAGTTTGGATACTGGACTGAAAATATATTTTCTTGAATGGATGAATAAAAACACAAAATGTGAAGTTAATGGGGTTCTAACATCTGTGAAATACTTTGGTCTTGTTGGCATTAGAAACCAGGCAATGGCTTTTGGAGCTGTTTTTCTGCTAATAGCAGGAAAAGCTTCTTCAGTTGGGCTCCAACATAAGAATGTCCTTGTGCCTATTATGCTGACTGTCAACAGTTACAATGAAGATAATTATCTGCCTTTAAAGTTGATATAGTTTTAAAAATTAGTCTGGACCTGGCTGTCATTCCTAGCAAGTTTTATTTTCAAAAACTTGACATTCTAAATTATATGTTAGCTTATTTATTTTCAGTACTGATTGATCAAGGAGTTTTGCAAAATCATGTAAGCAAGCTTATATATTAAATATTTTCTAAAGAGTACAAGACTAGTGATGAGTTTAGTTTTGTGCTTATTAGTAAAGCCTCCATGTCTGTATCTTCCTATACATGTTTGAGAACATACAGGGGATTCAGTCCATTGTCCTCCTAGAACCCTGCAGATGTGGACCATACTCTACTGGTCTGACATTGTACACAGAGCAGACTGTGGAACAGGAAGCCAGGGACCTCTAGGAGTCTCCCAGTGGAGAGTCGGGCCAGAATCCTCAGCTTGGCATCGTTTCTGCTTTTGGCTGCATTACTACTCACTTTGCAGAGTGTTCTGGGATTGGGTGAGCAGAGATTTTAGGCCAAAACTCATCCATGGTTCCTTAAAAACCACAAAAAGTAAATGAGTCTACCAAGATACAAGAAAGCAACCCTGAAGGTAACTGGTCATCAAAATATTGCCTTTACATAGTCTCATTCTGAATACACCAGTGGTGTCTGGGTTCCACTTATTGGTTATTCAATAGGCTTATAAATTTCACCAAGTTTGAGGTCAGAAGATCTTGCCTCAATGTCAAGGGTCCTTGATTTTAGAGAGTAAGGAGGACAAAAAGCTTCTAGGTTGTTCCTCAGATAACCTTACATGACCAAAGTTGGAGAATATTCTCTCCCCTTCTCCCTCTCTTTTTAAGTACAGTGATTTTTCTTATTTTTAAAGGATCTTTTTAAGTGATAAGAAATGAAGAAAAAATAAATTCTTTCTCCCTTTCTCTCTTCCTCCCTCCCTCCCTCCCTTCCCCCCTACTCCTGAGTTAAACCCAGGGCCTCACATATGTAAGCACATGATTTACCCCTGAGTTATACCTGCAGCTAAGAAAGCACATCATCTACCCCTGTGTTATTACACCCCTGAGAACTTTTTAAAAGAAAGAAAGAAGAAGAAAAAAAAGGAAAACAATAAATCCCACTAAATAATTACCTAAAAATAACAAGTGCTTTTCAACTTTGGTGAAGATCATTCCAGACATCTGCTTGTTTAATCCAATAGAAGGATAGATGGAGGAGCCATCATTGGATGAGTAGATAGGGAAGGATTGAAAGGAAGAAAGAAGAAAGGACATTTGGCAAGAATGAGATTGTATAATTTTTAAATTGAAGTATCAATTTTTTATTTCATTTACATTTGACAACAAAAATCTAAAGAAAACAGAAGGCAATACCTTAAAACAAGTCTTTTTACTATAAAAGATAGTAGTTACTAAAAAATCATTCTAAGGAGAATAATTATAAAAAACATTTAGAAGGTGCAGTGTTGTTGCTGCTGTTTATTTTTATTGTTTCCATCGTTGGCAGCATGAATGCACGCCTCCCCAATGGGAGGGTGGTGGGGCTATGTCCCTGTCCTCTCACTTCTCTCCCCCACCCTCTTACTACTAAGTTCCCCTTTCCATTTATTATATCTGTAATGGTATTATAGTTCTCAGTTTATTTACTTAGCACTGCAGTCTCACTTTTTATTTCATTCTGTATTTTATCATCACATTTGATTTCTTTCAATAAACTCATTGTTGTTGATTTGTATGGCAAAGGACCTATCAAGAGTTTTATTAGGTTTTCTTTCAGAATGAATGCTCTCACATATCATGTTCCTTTTCCCCTCCCTCATCTATTTTCTTGACAAATGAAAGTACATTCGAATTCTAAGGGCTTTGGCAACTTGTTTTCTCTTTCCTATTTTGATTTTTGGGGGCTGAGTTGGATAGATGGGATTTGTATTCTTGATTCTTTACTAAAATCTGTGTTCGTATTCTTGGTCACCATTTTTCAATGTTTGTAGTACACAGTCATAATTTTCTCGTATTTACTAAGCGATGAATTTTTAACCTTTTTTCAACTTTTTTATACTATTTTACTATTAGAATTTTAACCTCTTTTTTATTTAACTATAAAACCCAGTAAAATAAATATTTATTATCCTCCCCACTTTATAGTGGAGGAAACTGAAATTTGTAGTGATTTAACACTCCTGGTTCTTTGGGAGTTTCTATGAACTATAGTGCAAAGTAAATTCTGCTGACTCCAGAGCCCAAGTTCAGCTTCAGGCCGTCACCTTCTGTACAGCCAATAAAAGTCCTCCTTTCCTCTGGGATATCACTCTCTCTCGGATTCCCTTCTAACCCAGGCTCCTCCTTAGCTTTGTAGTTCCCACTTAGAGCTTTGACTTTAACATTGGGTTACCCCAACTGCTGTCCTATCAATACTTCATTTCTTAGTGATCTCATATAGAATCATAGCTTTAAATGTCAACTGCATGCCAATCAATAATGCCATATTTTTGTTTTCAACCTAGGCCACTCCTCTGAATTCTATATACAACTGCCTGGTCTGATAAGCATCTCACTATAATATGTTTAGAACCAAACTTCAAATTACTTTTGTTCAATTTTGAGTCTAATTAGAATCTGATCATCCTTGCTACTTCACCAACTGCTACCATTCTGGTTTAAGCCACTCTCATCCCTTAAGTAGATTACTCTAGTACTTCATACCTGATCTCTTTACTTCTTCTTTTTCCTCCCTATAGTCCATCCTCCACAGAGAAGCCTGAACGAATCCTTTTATATAACTAAGTTCTTATCATAACTGACCTCAGAATCTCCTCATCTTGCATAGATTAAAAGCCCAAATCTTCATGATGACCTAGAAGTTTCTACATAATGTCCCACATTCTGACTTTTATTTCTTACCATTTCCTTTTCCCTCCCTTCATGCCAGCCACTGGCCTCTTTCACTTTCCTCTGATGCACCGAGCGTACTCCCTCCCTCCTCAGCATCTTTGCACTTACTGCTCCCTTGGAACACTCTTCTCTCAGATGCCTGAGCACCCTCATTTGCTGTAGGTCTCTGCCCAGGTGCTAGTGTGAGACCTTTCTTGGCCACCTCTTCCACTTGGCATTCCCTGGCTTCTCTGCCATGCTTTGTTTATCCATATCATCCTTCACCAGCTGACATGCTGAATGTTTACCTACATGTTGCCTGTTTTCCATACTGAAATTCAAGTTCCTTGAGCTTGGGGACTTTTTGTTCACTATAGTCTGACCTATGACTGTGTCTGGCACTTTGTAGCTGCTCAGTAATTATTTTTCATTAAAATGAATGAGTGAGCCAACATCTGCTTCTAACACCAAACCAAAATTATTATCATGATAGAATTTCTCCTTTATGTTGGGAAAATCGGGACAATGCTAGCTGCATGTTTGGCACAATAACTCTATCAAGGTGCTAACTTCCTTGAAAAATCTTGGTTAAGAGAAAGGCATCTGATAAATTCCTGACCTTTTATTCTTTAAGTCAACATAACCTCCTAAAACAGTGAGACACCCGGGAAGTTTCTTTGTACTGAATTAGGTAGAGCCAGTAAGAGATGTGGAAGTGATAGGAAAGTTCCTAGAAATGAACCTTTTCCTCTTGGAATCAGTAATTATGAAGGAAGAGAATGTTTGGTGTAGGAAGATGATTTTCTTACATTTTACAAAAGCATATTTCAGAATTCAGAAAAGAAACTTTATCTGTTGGGTAGCTAATGAGTTAAAATGTGTTACTTCACAGGGGCTGAAATTTCTTAAAATGGGTGTTCTATCCAGACATAAAGAAAATTCTATTGAGAAACAAGTGTGCCTTTGTCAGATGTGTCATAACTAAAGGATGTAACAAATGACAAAATAAGTGGCACAGTCCTGTAACTCTTAGAGTAAGCTCAGAAGGATCTGAAAATGGCAACCAACTAAAGACAGCAAGTTGGATTTCTAAGTTATGTTCACAGAGCCAGGAAGGGGGAAAAAAACAGGAAATGATAGAACCACTGCTTGGGAAAGATGATGTCATCTTAATAAATGCTGCAGAAAGGAGGCAGATCTAATCAACTCCTATTTTGTTTTGTTTTCATCTTTTCTTTTAGGGAAAAAACAATGATTGGGAACCTAATTTTCAATTCTTAAATATTATCTTTGATAATAATTAAAATTAATGGTTGCTGATAAAAACATAGCTTTTTGAAAACAAATTTCTCCTCTTTTACCATATTCCCAGAGGGGGAAGCCTAACATTTTTCTGAAAAAGGAATCACAGTCCCTGCCCTGTTATGGAACTTGTGACCTAGTTGGGCCCAGCCTGGGGTGGGGTAGGAAGGCATAATTGTAAAACAATTAGATCAACCTCCAGTTTAAGCAAATGCAAGATAAAGTGGTAGAATACACATACACGTGTATCTGATGAAAGAATTTCAAATCAGGAAAAATCTTTATAGAGAATAACTAATCTAGGAAGGCTTTGTGAAGGCAATGACCTTAAACTCAGCTTTTGAAACAAAACATTTTAAAAAGAGGAAAGGAATAAAGAAAGCACTTTCAATAGGGTAGTGCAGTAAATAGAATAATAGTAACAATAACATTTTGGGACTAATGGCTGTGAGCAAAGAGCTATTTTGGGTGATTTTATTAGTAGTATTTGAATTATTATAAGCATAATGTCTGCTGTTATCTAATGTAACAATCATGTCAGTCCTGAAGTCCTATTATTAGTTGTTATGCTCATTTTACATGCACATATTAAAATGTATAGCCAGTATTCTATCAGACAGTTATTCTGCTTCTCAATAACAGAAATGCTCCTTGTGCCTCTAGTAACAGACTGCTTAATAGAGCATTTCAGCTTCTCTGCCACCTCCAAAAAAAGCCACCTGATGCTCACACAGCTCCATGAGACCACTACTTTCCTGCATCTTTTGCCCTTGCATAGATTACATTCCTTCCCTGTACTATCTTCCTTATCTTCTAGCAACTGAATTCTTATTTACCAATCAAGGTCAGCCTTGAATGTCACCATCATCCTAAAAAATTATTCCTCTGCCAAATTATACAAATTTCTCTGCAACTTGATCACAGTTCTTACTCTCCTATATTGTATTAGTTTCTTGACTGCTTGCTTTGTGTGTAAAGAACCATTGTAAGTGGTTTGTTGTAGTAGTAGTAGTTATATTATGCATATCTGGTATAATTATCATGTCAGTCCTGAAGTCCTATTATTGGTTGCTATGCTATAAGTGAGGAGGTAAGGTGTGAAGGGAATAGGAGCAGCAACAGGAACAGTGCTGGTACATGGTGAATGCTCAGTAAATATTTGATGAATGAATGACTGAGAAAACATGTCCAGGATCAGCCACACAACCAAGAGCTCAAGCCTGGATTGGGCTGACCAAGGCTTCCTCAGCCTGCATACCAAACATCTTTATTTGAGTGAAGTGAGAACACCTGTAAACAGAAATAATAGATCTGATAAATGAAAAAATTTGAATGACTGAAGAATTGAAACTGGTTTCATTGATGAAATATTAAGAGGCAGTGAAGTATGGAGCCAAGTCTTTTGAGAGTCAGAAAGATTTGATTTGAAATGCTGTTTCCTGTTCTTATTAGTTGTATGATCTTCTTGAGTGACAGGATCACCTCTCTGTTCCTCAGATGTGTCATCCATAAAATGGGATGGTCTGTTTTCTAAGAGAAAAATAGGATTAAGGGGATTAAAGCATGTGAATTTCATTTTTGAATACCAAGGATTGAACTTAGGGGTACTCCAGCCCTATTTTGTATTTCATTTAAAGACAGGGTCTCACTGAGTTGCTTAGCGTGTCACTTCAGCTGAGGCTAGCTTTCAACTGCCTCCTGCCTCAGCCTCTTGAGGTGTGCACCACTATACCCGGCAAGCATGTGAATTTCTTAGTGCAGGTCTTGGCACATAGTAAATATTCAAATAACTTCAGTAATGAATACATGAGTATCCCTTATCTGAAATGCTTGGTAATAGAATCATTTTGAATTTTGGCTTTTTTTCTTTTATTGATCTCAGAATATTTGCACATATGATTTCTTAGGAATAGGACCCAAGTCTAAACAGGAAATTCGCCTCTAATTCATATATATCTTATTCGTATAGCCCAAAGGTAATTTTATGCAGTATTTTTAGTATGCTTGCATTTTGCCTGAGACCTACTGCGTAAAGTCAATTTAGAATATCCCACTTGTGTTGTCAGAACTCAGAGGGTTTTGTTTTGTTTTGGTTCCAAGGATTGAACCCAAAGTCACTTAAACACTGAGCCTCATCCCCAGCCCTTTTTATTTATTCATTTTAACTTTGAGGCAGGATCTCACTAAATTGCTTAGGGCCTCAGCCTCCCTAGCTCTGAGATTACAGGTGTGCATCACTACACCCAGGTAGTGCTCAAAATGTTTTGAATTTTGGAGCCTTTTAGATTTTGGATTTTCAGATTAGGGATACTCATCCTGTACCAGCAGTTTGGGTTCTTAAGAAATGGAAATGACTTAATAGAAATGATCTGGAGAGTTAAACTTGTACTGGCTGCCAGGATGCATTAGAAGACAAAAGAGCAGGGGTGAGAAGAATGGTAGAAAGTTGTTGAAACTATCTAGAGGTGAAGCACTGCCTGCAAGAAAATGGTGGTATGGGTGAGGAAGGGTGGGAGTCAGCGAATTGGAGAGATGAGAGAAAGCCATAATTCCTCAGAATGCAGCCATCAGAGAATTCTGAGGTTGTTCTTGACACTTGTCATTGAAGTCAGTACACATATGCCCTTTGGCTTGCATATCTCAATGTTCAATGATGATGGTCATTCTAATTACAATATCCCAAATACATTGGCAAAACTTGTTTTTCCCCTTTAGCCACCCACCAGCCATCAAAATGATCGGGTTTTTTGTAGTTTCTTGAGATTAACAGAACCCAAGTCAGTCTCTCCTGACTAAAGTCTAACAATTGTAAACCAACTGTCTGTTTTATTTCAGTGCAAGCAGCTAATGACTCCGTCTGTAGACTCCAGCAGAGGGAACAGGAACGAAGAAAGGTAAAAGTAGATAATGAACATGTGATTCCTGGATGTTTCTTTTCATTTCTTAATTTTTTTGGTACTGTTGATTGAATCCACACTACCACTGAGCTATATCCCTAGCTTTTGTTGTGGGCTGAGGGGGGTTTACTGGGGATTGAAGTCAGGGCACTCAACCTCTGAGTTAACATTGCCAGCCCTGTTTTTTATATTTTATTCAGAGACTGGGTCTCACTGAGTTGTTTAGCTCCTTGCTTTTGCTGAGGCTGGCTTTGAACTTGCGATCCTCCTGTCTCAGCCTCCCAAGCTGCTGGGATTAGAGGCATGTGCCACCATGCCCAGCTAAAGAACTCTTTATTTTTTCTTTTGAGACTAGGTCCCGCTAAATTGCTTCAGGCCTCTCTAAATTGCTGAGACTAATTTCTTCCTGTGATCCTCCTTCCTCAGCTCCTGAGTCACTGGGCTTACAGGCCAGGCGTGCACTGTAACACCCAGCTCTCTGGGTGTTTATTATCATCATATCATTAGCATTTGCTTTTGATCAGAAAATTCTCTGAATTATTTTGATTTATACAGTGAGTTAAAGTTAATTTATTGAATATGGGTTGAGGAGATGTGGTCACATGGTCACACCATCAATATTTTTATAATTCAAATTGCAGATCTCTTTTTTATCTTTTCAGCATTTTCACCTTTTCCCTGAAAGTGGTATTTGTCTCACAAAGGAGAGAGAAAATAGAAGTTTTACATGTAGCAAAAAAATACCTACCAGATTGGAAATATAAATCTTTCCTTTGAGCCTTAAGCATAGACTATATTATGTATATTTCTTCTAGAAAAGGAAGCATTCATGCCTGCAGATGGGTTATTTAATGAATAGTCATAGGAGTATGTGAATCACTTGATGGGCGGTGCTTTGCTTATTTGAATTATATCTTAATTAAATTCAGATGTGGAAAACAGCATACGAATGTAGGTTTCTGTGATAATTTGGTGTTTTCACTTGGACTTTTCATAAAGTGCTTTTGTAACTTATTCATCACTCTAAGTAAAGATACACCTTACAGTTACATTAAGAGATGTAAAAATACTAAGTCACTCTGAAAACAATTCCTTTTTGCGTGTGTGCATATCAGTAAATGTTACTATCTCTATCTCTTTGGAAATGTTGTAGTTAATCCACAGTACAAAGTTCAGATCTGTTACTACATAAGTATATAATGGAATGAATCTTTCCAGGGCTTTAATTTCTATACTCTGTACTCAATTCCAGATGTAAAGTTTGAAAATTCAACATTTGGATGATTTAAGTCTTACTGAAAGGACTCAACCGATGGGAAGGCTGCCCAAGGGTAGTAGGGTCCCAGCAGGCAGGGTCAGGGAGCACAGTCACTGCTGAGCACATGGATGAAATAGCAAGTCAAAGGGCCATAGTTGGGACTGTCCATTTTGGGGTGTAGTGCCAGCATGATGCTCCAAAAACTGCGAAGGCAGGCGTGGGGGCTTGAGTGGGTCATACCAGGCTGGAGAGCAGATGATTTTTTAATCCTCTTCTTGCTAGGCACCACTGTTTATGAAAGTTTTTTAATTTGTTAAGTTTAAGACAATCGCTACACTCAAGGAGTTAAAAGTTGGGGGGGCTCCAAACCCCTAAAGCTAACACAATGTAGGATAGTAAGAACTGTGATCAAGTTGAAGAAAAATTTGTGCAGTTTGGCAAAAGGAATAATTTATTAGGAAGATGGTGACATTCAAGCCTGACCTTGATCAGTCAATAAGAATTCAGTTGCTGGATGATAAGAAAGATAGTGCAGGGAAGGAATGTAACCTATGCAAGGGCAAAAGATGCAGGAAAGCAGTGGTCTCATAGAGCTGGTGTGTGAGCATCAGGTGGTTATTTCTGGAGGTATTAGAGGAGCCAGCCAAAATGCTATATTAAGCCATCTGTTACTGGAGGAACTAGGAACATTTCTGTTATTAAGAAGCAGAATAACTGTCTGATAGAATACTGGCTGTACATTTTAACATGTAGTTCTCTTGGCTTTCAAAATGGAAAAGCATCCTGTGCCTCATCTACTTCTCTGACACGTTGCAATGTGACTTAAGCAGATTAGGGTGAGTTTGCACTCACACCTGAGTTGGTCTTTCAGATATGTCAAAGCAGTTACAATTCTGATAAACAGAAATTCTTTTTATTCTTGAGTAGGATGAACCCCTAAACCATAATTGGAATATTTCCTCTTATCACTTTGAATTATATTCACATTTAACATATTAGCCTTCTCTATATAGGAAAAAAAAATGACCAGATTGCATAAAAAAAAAATCTGGCTTCTTCTGTTTGTAATGGTTGGTTCTTTTATTAGCTGACTGTAAGCCCTTGGACAAGTCCCTAAGCTTCAAGCACATGGGAGACTGAGGCAGGAGGATCACTTGAGCCCAGATCAGTCTGAGCAACATAATGAGCCATGTCTCAAAATAAAATAAAATAGAAAGGACTGGGGATGTAGCTCAGTGGTCAAGTGTCCCTGAGTTCAGTCCTCATTATAGAGAAGGGAAAGGGGGCAGAAGAAGGAGGAGGACCAAAAAAGGTGGGAGGGGGGTGGCTCAAGGAATTAGACCAGTATATTTCTTAACTGTCTTTATGTCTGAGAATGTTGTTATACTAATTTTTGTAAAATACTAAAAGTTAATGTTTTTAAATGTACTGCAAAGCTGAGTTTCACTGAGAATTACTGTAGAGTATGTGAAACCTCTGTTAGTGAGGAACCACCCTGATTTTCTTCTCTCAAGATGGTTTAGTAAAATTAATCAGCTTAAAGGTATTTAAGGGATGCATTTTCACAGCCCAGCAAAAAGTGAAAATTCTTTATAGTCTTAGTGGGACAATGAACCTTGTGTCTTAAATTTTCATTTTTTTTTAATGTTTATCTACTTACTAGAACAATTTGAAGTATGGATCTTTAGGATTTTTTAAAACTGCCATATCTAGCTTTTTCTGAAATTTTCACATGGCAGGGTGTTGGACTATATGTACAGTCCACCTCCGTGTGTGTGTGTGTGTGTGTGTGTGTGTGTGTGTGTGTGAGAGAGAGAGAGAGAGAGAGAGAGAGAGAAATATGTAGAAAACAAAAATGACTTCTATTTGCATTTTACAGGCTAATGTTAATTGTTGCTTTTGCTTATCCTGTTGGCCACATTTTGTATATTTGAAAGGCTCTCAAAAGCAAAGAAAGATGGGAGTAGTGATGGAATAAAATAGACTATTGCCATTAATCATTACTTCTTTTTTGCCAAGACAATTTGTGGAATTTTGCCGGAAGTAAATTGATAAGCGTCATTCAGCCAAATCACATTTCCCACAATTGATATCTAAAAGTATATTCAGAAGAACAATAAATGCACATTCCCTACTTATTTAACATGTCTTGAGAACTGCCACTAATACAAAGGTTACATTTTGGGTGCTAGCACTAAGTAGTGAATTGAAATGCAATTGGTTTATAAAGTTCACTAGCTCTGAAAAATAGGCCATTAGGAGACAGAAGGTGATTGATTTCATCAATAATTTAAATTTAGGTTCATGTGCAGCATCCACTCTTGAAGCGCTGTCCAGCCACGCCAGAGACAGTGAAATAAATGTAACTGTTTCGATCTTGTCCACAGATATTTATTAGATTTGGTTATGCTTCTTCATAATTTCTTTTCATGAGGGAGATGAGATCATATAAAGCCATATTCTTGAAAAGATTTGGAGAATACTGAGAAATATTTCCTGCTCTTTAAAATAATTTTTGGCACTTGTACTGATATTTCTTACCAAAGTAGATTTTTTTCTGTGCCTGGGTAAAGTGTGTGTAAAATTAACAGCACGTATATTGCTGACATATGTTCCAGAATACTTTTTAAACCTTAGTTGGATTATTCAGAATTGTTTCTTACACCAGCATTTTTCACTTCGATGCTGTTGACATTTTGGACCAGATAGAAAGGTCTTTGTTCTGTTGCTGAGGATTGCTGCCAGTGCACCATGGGTTGGCTGCCAGTAGCTCCTCCCCTGACCTCTGTTACAATGACCAAAAATCTCTGGAGAAAGAAACACTCCCCCCACCCCAGTTGAGACTCACTGATTCTAATTAATGTGAGCAAAACTCTCTTTATTTTGTATTCTGGACTTTATTTATTGAACTGGTTCTAGATATAGTTTAGCTTCAGGATTGGTTTTTATTTAAATTTATATTTTATGGGATATAAATATAGATAGGTATCTCAGTATATTATTACTATTTCTTTCTCTGTTGTGACTTAATTTGTACAATTTACTCATTGTACAGGCTAATGTTAATTAGATATAACACCATTGCCGCTTATGACTTCTGCTGCATGTTGTAGCTCACTAATAAACTTCCTCTTCATTTTCTTTTAAACTTAGAATTTTCTAAGTTTATCCCCAAAAGAAAGCAAATATATCCATTTAAGAATGCAATTGTTTTCATCTGAAACTTGATTTCAATTTTTTTTTATTGTGGTAAAATATGTACAGCATAAAATTCACCTTCTTAACCATTTTTCCCCCCTAACCATATTTTTAAGTTTACATTGCAGTGACTTTAAATATATTCCCATTGTTGTGCTGCAGTAATATCACCACCAACTCTCGGTAAAACTCTTTGATCTTGCAAAACTAATGAGATTCTGTATCCACTAACCATTAACTCCCACTTCTCTCTGCCCACACTCCTCAGAACCACCATTCTACTTTCTGTCTCTGAATTTGGCTGCTCAAAGTGGAATCATATAATATTTTGGTTTTTGTGACTGGTTTGTTTCTTTAGTATTATATCACCAAGGCTCATCTGTGTTTGTAGCATGTTGCAGACTTAAGTTCCATTTTAAGGCTGAAGAACTATTCCATTATGTGTATAGACCACATTTTGTGCACCTATCCACCTGTCTATGGGTGCTTGGGTTGCTTCCACCTTTGAGCTGTTATGGAAAATACTGCTGTAAGCATGAGTGTGCAAATATCTGTTCACATTCTTGCTCTCTGTTCTTTGGGATATGACCTCAAAGTGAAATTACTGAGTCATGTGTGATTCTACATTTAATGTTTGGAGGAACCTCTGTAATATTATATAGCTAGCTTTACCAAAAAGCCCAAGTTTTTGTCTTCCTTAAACATGGAGCCCTTATAGAACTTTTAAAAACTGTTTTGGATGAAAATCTTTAAAAATATATTCTATGTTCTTCTATGCATAAGTTTTATATCATGGAGAGAGAGTGGGGTTGGGGTCAGAGAGAGAGGATTGTGTTTCTATACCAAATGCCTTCAAATACTGTGCTTCGGGTTTTTCTGTCTCCTCCTTTGCCATAGGCTGACTATCATTTCTTCATATCTCATTTATCAGCTCTTTCTTTTTCTTATTTGTGATTTTTCATATGGTATAGTCCTGAAAACCAGTTAACTAGTTAGAATTGTGATAGGCCAAATAGGTTCAGAATCTTCTGAAAACAGCAGTTCTTGCCAATGGACTTTGTTACATCTTTTTTTTGTTGTTGTTAGCTCAAAGACCCTGCTGCATAGTTCCTCAGCTAAGTCTCAAGGGGATGTTCTTCCCAGGTAGCTGAGTTTTATATATGTGAAGACTGCAGTGTTGTCAAGATGGAAACATATAGTCAACCTCTCTGTTTTTTTGTGTGTAATTTTTATGAAGAATGCATAGCAATTATTATTATTAATGGTGAGAGACTAAGAAATTAGGTCAAGTGGACTGACCTCAGGAACTTCAGGAGAAGAAAGCAAGACTGGGTTTTCATTTGGGGCTGGGGATTGTCAGCTTTCAACTTGTCTCCTGGACTTTGAGAGAAAGCAGTGATATAACTGATGTGGGAAGGCCACTTGGGTGTGTATGTCTTTAGTTATAACGTTCTGTAGTACAAAATGGAGACACTGATTGTTGGCAACCAATTCATCAGCAGTGGCTATATCCAGGAGGAATGCAGTGAATATGAAAAATGGGAGGGGCAAACTTACTTTATTTGCATTACTTGTATGCTTCAATTTATTACAAGAATATATTGTTAAATAAAGTAAAGGGGCTGGGGATGTGGCTCAGGTGGTATCGCACTCACCTGGCATGCGTGAGGCACTGGGTTCGATCCTCAGCACCACATAAAAAAATAAAGATATTGTGTCCACCTATAACTAAAAATTTTTTTAAAAAAATTTAATTAATTAATTAAAGAACAAAAACTTCACTACAAGGGGATAAAAAGTGGAGTGATCTGCCTTCTAGATGCTGTGCTTGTGATTTATATAATAATATTTAATTTTTCTTAAGCACCTCAGGTACTGAGCTAGGAAGTTGACATGTATTACCTCTAGTCTTCATAAATATTATTTATTTTTGAACTAAGTAATATTTTTCTCATTTTTAGATTAAATTTTAACTTAGTGTCTTTAGACAACTGGCAATGGGTGAGCTAGAACTTGGAAGTGAGATTCATGTGGTTTCCAAGTCTGCATTTTTCTCCATTGAGCTGCTCTGGATAAAAAGTGCTGCCTGATAGGAGTAGGAACCCAGGCCATCAACCAGATCAAAAGAGCAGCTAAGCCAATTATGTCTGTGGCACATGCCTGTAATTCCAGCAGCTCAGGAGGCTGAGACAGGAGGATTGCAAGTTCAAGGCCAGCCTCAGAAACTTAGGCTGTCTCAAAATTAAAAAACAAAAAGGGCTGGGGATGACACTCAGTGGCTGAGTGTCCCTGGATTAAATCTCCACAACCATAAATAAATAAGTAGATAAATAACAAAGTAAATAAGTAAGTTAAAGCAAGATAATTATATTGATGAAGTTTTAATTTTTATTCTGTTTTTAATGTGTGACTTTTCTGTGAGACTATTAATAGTTTTTGGCAGAAGTCCTACCAAAAAATTAATTAAACTCTTCATGTATTGTCCTTTTTTTTTAGAGTTGAAATCCATAAGGCTGAGAAGTTAAAAAGGAGTGTGCTGAAGTTGTTTCCCTTCCCCTGGTATATGAACCCTTTCCCACCACCACTCTGGTACTTATTCAGATTCCCACTACTAATATACAAGCTTCAGGCTCCAGCCTCTGAGTGGCCAGTCGAGTCTCTGAGCCCACCAGGTGTCCCTTTCCATTAGAGCTCTATGGAGTTAATATGGAGGAATCAGTTGTGATTTCAGATGCGTTATAGGCTTCTGTGGTTTGCTTCTGTCACAGTTTCCCTTGGTTTGTTTAAAAGAACATAGCGGGAATCAAAACCACATCAAAACTTCTAACATGCATGTAGAATACTTGAAGAAAATATAGAAAGTTACTTTTCATACCATTTTTTTATTTAATTCTTTGTTGTGTGTGTTCAAAGATAATAATTGAAGTTTTTCTTTCAGGGTAGAAAATTAAGTTGCTGTTGTTTTTCTACAGTAGTATTCCCTATTTGTTGCTGTGGGGCTCCAAAGAAAAATCCTTTTATCTTTATAGAAATTTTAAGGACCATCTCAAGAAGAATTTAGATATTTGACATATTTGACCTTAAATATTTGAGAAAACACTAATTTGCCTGTTTTAGATGTTGATTTGCTTTAAGGGCTAAAATTGAACTGAAGAGATTTCTCGATTTCTCCTTCAGTAGCTAATGATCTATGATTACTTCTAATGTACTCAAAACATATTATGTAAGACAGACATTTTAATTTCTTATGATTGTCTTAGCATATGTTCTTTAAACTTGATAAAGTATATGTAATTTGGAACTTGAGAAAAATAGAGGTATTAAAATTACTTGGATTTTTGTCATTTAAGGATACTAAACACCTATGAATTTTCAAAAATGTGAGTACTCATGTTCAGTTATAATAAAAAAAAACCTTCAGTGTTTCTAATGTGTCCTATTCTTATTGGATGTTAAAATGATAATGTAATTTTTCTTATTGTGATTTATAGTTGATCATTACAGAAACCAAACATCAAGCAATAAAGTTACATTTGTCTCATCTGCATATAGAAATAACTGTATAGAAGATCTTAGGTGATTTTCACATTTTCTTTTCTCAGATGTATCATGACCACTTAATAGCTACTGAGAAACAGCATCAACTCCAGTGGGAGGATTTCATGAAAGAACAACCCCGCCGTCAGGCTGAGGTGGATGAAGAACACAGAAGAGCCATGGAAAGGCTTAAAGAACAATATGCTGAGATGGAGAAGGGCCTAGCAAAATTCTCAACTTTTTAAGAACTTGAACAACAACATTCACAAATGGAGGAGAATT